GACTAAGGACCAACGGACGCCAACAGGCTACCTCAGAGTCTCTGGATTGAAAGCACGCTCCCAATTTACTACTGTTGCGGTCCGTAGGCTTCTCCCTTATCTATGCACAAAAAGGCACAGAAGTGTAGCATTAGCACAACCGACCTCATGTACCGGTAAATATCTGGCCTAACCCCGACGAGGTAGTGACGAGGCTAGACAGGACCTACCATAGTTAACCTGTACAAATATATGCAATAACAGATAATACGCGAGTATAAACAATTTAAAAGAGAGGGAAACATGTTGAGGGGATACGATAGTTCAAATACGGAAACAACTATTAAAAGACGAAGAATAAATAATTAACAACTAATACAGGAACACCAGATAACTCAACACACAAGAATAGTGTACTCAGTCCACATTCTGTTGCGGCGCGCAACCCGATCCTCAACATTTAATACCTTTGCGGCGTGCAACCCGATCCTCAACAAATTATATATATACCGTTGCGGCGTGCAACCCGATCCTCATTAGCTCGTATCATTGCGGCGTGCAACCCGATCCTCAACAATTTACCAACAACTCACCCAACATCATTCGCAACTCAAGTGCGAGGGGAGTAACATCAAAACATACAAGTCCCGACGAGGAAACATAGCTAACAGCCCAAATATCCCGGCAAGGGAGAATTCAACATATAATTAAATCCCGGCAAGGGAAAAGGTCTCAAACTTTCACTTCTAATCATTTAGCTACCAACAATCGCTAAGTCGAGTCAATGCTTCAAAATTAATACAAGTAACTATTTGTCCTTAACCGATCTTTTCATATGATCTCAATCAATCTAAGCAACAAGTCATTTCATAATATTCACTTTTAAGCAAGGTAAGACCCATGGTCATGCACGACTCGGGTGCATAGGTAATCGTCACCATGCCTATACACTGACTCCACATAGCACACAACAAATAATATCCTAATCCTAATCCCTCAAGTCAAAGTTAGATCAAACACTTACCTCGATCCGAAGATAGCAATCAAAGCTAAAAAATTGCCTTTCCTCTAGAATCCAACTCTGAAACAATGGTATCTAGGCATAATTAGGTTCAGTATTATCAATAAGAGTCCAAAAACATAATCATATAGCCTAGAAATGCATTTCCTAACTTTTTTTCAAAATTACCAAAGTCTGACCCCGGGCCCACATGGTCCAAACTCGAGGCTCGGACCAAAATCTAATCACCCATAACCCCACGAGTTTAAATATAGGATTTGTTTTAAGATTCGACCTCAAATTGAGGTTGAATCGTCCAAAATCGCAAAAGCTCTAGTTTTACCGATTCCCCCATTATCTACCTTGATTTCATACTTTAGGACTAGGAAATTAAAGATTAATGGAAGAAATTAAGAGAAAAAATAGTTAAGAACACTTACCCAAGAGATTATGGAGAAGAAATGGTTGAGAATCGTATATGGTGTGTTTTATGGAAGAGCATCGTGTGAAAAAATGACAAAAATCCCGAAATGGACTGTTTTGGAACTTAAATAATTTGCTGGGCAAAAATGCCCTTCGCGTTCGCGTGAAAGGGACGCGTTCACGAAGGGTAATTGGGTTCAAAGGTTCACGAATGCGTAGAACAAAAAGAAGCAGCCCAGAGGTCCGCGAATGCGGCCCATTGCTGCGAACGCTAAGCACAAAAAGGGCCTGCAACAGAATTGAAAAATATGGTATTTTTTCCAAGCACAAAAACATCCCGAACCACCCCCGGAATTACTTTCGAGCCCTTGGGGCTCTCAACCAAACATACACAATAGCTCATTAACATCCTATGGACTTAGTCGAGCGATCAAATCGCCAAAATAACATCAAATTCAAAGAATTAAACTCCAAAATCATCATTTTGCATTTCAACTTCATAAACTTCTAAAATTAGATTCTTAGGTTCGAAACATGTCAAACGACGTCCGATTCCAATCAAATTTTACAGATAGCGCTTAAACCACATATAAGACCTGCACCGGACGTCGGAACCAAAATATGAGCCCCATACCTATATTTTCTTACTCATTTTCTTTTCAAAAATCGATATCATTTTCAGAAAAATAATTTATTTCAAAAATTGATAACTCGAGCTTGGGACCTCGGATTTCAATTCCGGGAATACGCCCGAGTCCCATATTTTTATACGGACCCCTCCGGGACCGTCACATCATGGGTCTGGGTCGGGGTCCGTTTACCCAAAATGCTGACCGAAGTCAACTATATCAATATTAATATCAATTTTCATGAAATTTAACACATAATTCAAATTTCTCAACATCAAAACTTTTCGGCTTCGCGCCCGAACTGCGCACGCAAATTGAAGCAACCAAATAAGAGGTTTTTAAGGCCTCGAAAGTACGGGAAAAGAAGAATTAAGGGGTCATCACAGTACACTTTCAATGCTAACCAAATTTAGTAATTAAACATAAAAATCAATATGATACCTAAATAATGATATATTTTATTTAATTTTAAATTATCGAAATACTATTTTAGTGAAGGGTATACTACTATATTTAATGAAGGGTAGTTTAGTCACACTAATTATTCTTTTTTTTTGAATTTTAGTGTTTTCTTAATTAATGAGTATATCAAAAGCAAATTGATCACCCATTGTGGACGAGAGAGAGTAGCAATTACTTGAAAAATCATATCATTATTTAATTCGAAGTGTTCGGTAAACTTAATGTATTAAAATTCTAGAAAGCTGCAGCGTTTTATTCAAATAAATTAAGTTAACATGGTTTTGAAACTGGAAAGTTTATAAAACTATATTATTGTAGTAGTATTTAAGTATTTACCTTTGAGTCTGCTTAATTTAATTTTAAATTGTACCTTTGATCATTAATAATTGAGATAATACATAAAAACCCCATTAAACTTGTCCTAAAAAGTCATTTTCCCATCTAAACTTTGGGGGCGTCCTAACACCCCACGATTGTTGCACAAACTGTATTTATTTAACCCCTCCGTTGAGCTGGCCCAACTAACATAAATTGAGTGATATACACGCGCCTTATATTTAAGCCACGTAATTATTTTACTTATCCACATATATTAATTATATACCTCCGTCAGTTTTAACCCATTAACCCCCTCCGTCAAAATACCCAAAATAAACCCTAACATTTTTACCCCAAAATCGATCTCCTCAATCCTAAAGGCTGACAAAAATCGAAGGGATCCAAATCGAAGGGATCTGTTGCATGTTATTAACGATTTCCTTCTTCTTGCTCCTCTTCTTCTTCGATTGTTGGTGATTGTTCAAGTTCACGATTTGGTTGAAGAGCTGTTCGAAGTTGTAGGACTTTGAAGAATCAAGTGCCAACGAGTCTCTTTGTTTTAGTTTGGAGGTAAACACACTAACCCTATCCTTTTCTATCATCAACCCTAATTGTGTATCTCTGTTTTATTTTGTTTAATAGCATCCGTGTCGAGGGTTTTGAAGTCGCTTCCAATTTCTTCAATGTAATCTTATCTGTGTAAAATCGTGAAAAAAATACAATTTTGAAGGTGTAATAATAACCAATTTTGTATTTTTCCTTGTTGCATGTTTTCTGACCTCTTCTGTAAAAATCAGAAATTAATTACCTTAATTTCTACTATATTCAGGGATTCCCAAAATATCGTTTGTACTTGTTACTCTAAGATTTTTCCATGGTGGAAAAATCAGCATGGATAAGTTGGATTGCTTTTCAATGGAGGATTATACTGGTGGTGTGATGACTGACTGTTTTGATGTAGATGTTGATAGGTTTTCTTACTTTGAGTTCTTAGGTTATGTAAGAGAATTTGGTTACAATGGTGCTTCTGCTGTTATTTATGTTAGACCACCTAACTGTCCTGCTTTAGTACTAGTTAAAGTTGATAGGGACCTGATAGGTATTTGTGAAGACTTAAAAAGTGGGGATATTTTGGAGGTTTATGTAGAGCACATGGTTGAAGAACCTTTAGTGGACCCACCCCTATTAGATTATGTTAGCCAAGTTGGGAATGATAGTAATGTTACTTTTGATTTTGAATCTGGTCAACATGTGGGGGGTTGTGAGGGTGTGGGACCAAGTGAAAAGGCATCCAATGCTGCTGAAAATAGTCCCAATAATACAGTCCCCACAGCTGTTACTACAGATGATAACTCCTCTTCTGAATCAAACCTCTCACACTCCTCATCTGAATCAAGCTCAGATTCAGAATCTGAGGAGTTGTCTGAAGAAGGAGAAGCTGAATATGGTAGTGATACACATGATGAATACAGGGCATTTAGGGCAGAAAGCAGGAATGTAAAGAGGAAGAGGAAAGAAAGTGCTTCTAAAGAGAAGACTGTTAAAGTAGGTAAGAGAGGGGCAGATGTGGGGTATGATGAATATGCATCTAGGAAGAAGAAGAAGTCTTTAGAAGGGAAGTTAGGTGGTGATGAGCCTTATTATCCCTCAGATGAAGCTGCTAGTTTTGAGACAGATCCAGATGATGCTGATGATGAAGTTGAAGGGGAGGTGCAACAGAAAGTTAAAGCTAGAAGAAGAAAGAATTCAAGGAGAGTTGTATTTGACAATACTTGCAAGCAGATAGTGTGGAAACTGGACTTGCATTTGCAAGTGTGAAAGAATTTAGAGAGGCTTTAACTAAATATGCTATCAAAGAAAAGAAATCTCTAGAAAAGTATGTAAATGAACCTACAAGGGTGAGGGTTAGGTGCAAGAAGGAATCCTGTCCTTGGCTGCTATGTGCTAGTTATGATTCAAGGACTAAGGATTTTGTAGTTAAGAACTACAATCCAGTTCACAAATGTGAATCTACTAACAGAAACAAGTTTTGTAATTCAAGGTATTTGGCTAAAAAGTTCAATGAGAGGATAAAAGAGGAACCTAATATTAGAATATGTAAGTTTCAAGAGGTGATTAGAAAGAAACTGGGCTTGTATGTTGGGAGGACAGTTTGTAGGAGGGCAAAACATATTGTGTTGAAAGAGATAATGGGTGATCATAAATTGGAGTATGGGAGGATTTTAGATTATAGGGATGAGTTGCTTAGATCTAATCCTGGTAGTACATGTGTAGTTAAGCTTAGTGAGGAAACTTTTGAAGGTGGAAAGAAACAGTTTGTTGGGTTTTACATTTGTTTTGATGCAATCAAGAAGTCATACCTAGCTGGATGTAGGCCATGTATTGGGCTGGATGGGTATTTTTTGAAAGGGGTTTGCAAAGGTCAACTACTTGTAGCAGTTTGCAAAGATGGAAATAATCAGATGCTTCCACTTGCTTGGGCTGTTGTGGAAATTGAAAATCAGCACACTTGGAGGTGGTTTGTCAGCATTTTAAAGGCAGATCTTGAACTTGGGGATGGTACAAACTTGACCATGATAACAGACATGCAAAAGGTAATCCTACTGATTTTATGCTACTGTTTTATACTATCTTTTTGGGTCCTACTGACCATCTTTTTTCTGACTATGTTTATGTTTCAGGGACTTCAAAATGCCATATCAGATATACTCCCTAATTTTGAGCATAGGATGTGTGCCAGGCACATCCTAGCTAACTGGTCAAAGAAATGGAGGGGCATAGAGAGAAGGAACTGCTTCTGGAGGTGTGCAAGGTCTACATATGAATGGGAGTTGAAGAAAAATCTCAATGAAATGAAGAACTTGGGGAGTAACATAGTTGATGAACTGTTATACTACAACATTGAAAGATGGAGTAAGGTATATTTCAACACTTACTGCAAGTCTGATAGTGTTGACAACAACATGGCAGAATGTTTCAATAACTGGATTTTGGCAGCAAGACAGAAGACCATAATCACTATGTTGGAAGAGATTAGGGTGAAGATGATGAATAGAATAGCTCAGCTAAGACAGTTTGGGAACACTTGGATTACTGAATTTTCACCAATGGCCATGAAAGTGTTAGAAGAGAATACTGAAAGGTCAATGAAGTGTACCATTTTCTGGAATGGTGAGTTTGGTTTTGAAGTGAAGCAAGGCATGGGTAGTACTGAAGTTAAGATTTGGTGGACATCAATAGGCAAACTTGCACCTGTAGAGCTTGGATGTTAAAAGGCATACCATGTGCTCATGCAGTTGCTGCCTTGCATTTCAAGAATCTGGAGCCAATAAACTATATTTCTCATTGGTACAGTAATGAAACCTATATGAGAATATACAGCCACTTCCTTCAGCCTGTCTTGTCCATGAATATGTGGCCAGAGTCACAAAATCCATCTGTTTTACCACCTTCTGTGAAGAAGATGCCTGGAAGGCCAAAGAAAGTTAGAAGAAAAGAGCCTGGTGAAAATAAGACAGGAAAATTTTCCAAGGGTGGAGTGGAAATGACCTGTAGCAATTGTCATAACAAGGGTCATAACAAGAGGGGATGTGCTAAGGCTGCTGGAAGGTCTACTGCTGCAACCTCATCAAGGTCTACAAGTGTTGGTAGTTCAAAGCCACCAAAGCAAAGCAGCACTGGAAGAGGAAGGGGAAGGCCTACAGGTTCTACAGAAAAGGTGAACTTCTTCCCTTTAATGTGTTGTTGTCTTTTTTCAATGATTATCACATTTCTAATTTTTCATGATTCATATAGGATGTTTGTTCTACAAGTGAGAAAAGAACACATTTTAAGGCTCCAAGGATGGTTGGAATGGGTGTTTTACACACTCAAAGTGGCTTCAAAATTCACAATGTAAGTCCTCCATTCATATAGGATGTTTGTTTTACAACACTTGCTATGATATTTATGTGATACCAATTTCTGATTATCTGTTGGTTTATGGCAGCCTGGGATGTCCTCTACAAACTTTAGAGGTGTAAGGTCCTCGGCAGAAGTTACTGGAGATCTAGGCCATCGACCAACAAGAGGTGTAAAGTGGAAGGGTAAAGAGGCTATGACATCTAGGCAGCTGCAGCAATTGAGAGGCAAGAAGATAATTCAAACAAGGTCTAAGGCTGCTAAGATGAGCCAAGAAAGCACAACCAATGCAAATCAACCCAGCTTATGAAACTACTGTTTTTTTTTTTGAAAATTGTCCACTGTTTTTGGTTTGCAAACAACAATTCTGTATGTTGACAAGTTAATGTAGGTAGCTGTTGACTACTTATCCTAAAACTATCATTATGTTTTGGTTATGTCGACGGGAATACTATTTTGTTGTTTGGGTATGTCGACTGGAATACTACAACTAATGCAATATGTTTGAGTGTTTGAAGTTCAAACACTTAGCTTAAATAACTGTTATGTTTGGGTTTGTAATGTATTGTATTAGTGTTTGTTCTCCAAAGACTTAGCTTAAATATGGCTGTCCGTTTGTAATGTATGGTATTAGTGTTTGTTCTCCAAAGACTTAGCTTAAATATGGCTGTCCGTTTGTAATGTATGGTATTAGTGTTTGTTCTCCAAAGACTTAGCTTAAATATGGCTGCCCGTTTGGGTGTATTGAAACAACAACAAATGATACTTCCAAATTGAGAAGCAAAACATACATATTCTTGACAGTTCCATTAATAAGCAAAACATACAATGTGTTTGAACTTCAACTAAACATTGCTAAACTCCATTGCTAAGCAAAATATTGCTAAAATACATTCAAAATGGCAACCTCATTGCATCTTCTGTCAATGAGATCCCTCCATACCCACAAGCAACAAGAGTAATACACATACCCAATATAATGAACCATAGAACATTTTCCCTACTCTTTGACTTAGCTAATTGAGTCTTCCACTCTTTTTCCTTCTCTTTCATTTTCTCCATATCATCTTGCAATTTCATCAACTGAACCTCAATCTTCTTCATCTTGTCATCTTCTATGGTGTTTTCAACATTTACAGTAGTCCGCAACTTCCCAAGATTTTCAAAGCCTTCTAATGCATTCTCAAGTTCACCCATTTTTGCAAGCAACTTTGGAATAACAAATTTGGATCTAGGATCAATTTCAGAATCTTTCCAAACCTAAAAATCACAAGAACGAGGACACTAAGATGATTAACAAAAGAAAATTAATGAATGGTAATTTATCACAAATCAATAAGTGAAACAATTTTAAGAAACATTTACCCCATAGTGTGGACAAACCCAATATCTTCTTCCTGGGTTCTGAGGGGTCCAAGCAGTTAACAATGGCAGCACATAGCCATGGTTGCATCGAATTTCTCCACTTGAATCATTTTCTTCCTCTTCCGTGCAAAGCCTTGTTAAATTCTTTCCTTTTGAAGGCATTGGTACAAGTATTACAACTTCAAGAAGGATTTTTGATTGATTTTCGAAAGAAATTAGAAGAAGAAGAAGAAGAAGAAATTAGGGTTCTTCATTGGGTTTGGGTAAATATTTGGGGAAGATGGGTTTTTACCGTTGGGGGATATATTAACGTTATAATAGAATTATTTTTTGCCTTTTTTTGGGCTGTTTTAAAAAATTAAACAACACTGACGCGCTACATTTGGATGTCAAACACGCGCAGTGGGCCATCTCAACGGAGGGGTTAAATAAATACAGTTTGTGCAACAATCGTGGGGTGTTAAGACGTCCCCAAAGTTTAGATGGGAAAATGACTTTTTAGGACAAGTTTGATGGGGTTTTTATGTATTATCTCTTAATAATTCCAACAATGCATGCATGGCTCTTATTGTTGTACAAATATTGAAAATAATTCAATAGAGTCTAATCAAACAAGATAATAATTAAAAATAGAGAAGAATCGAGTAAGTAAGGCGCTT